TGTGTGTGTGTGTGTGTGTGTGTGTGTGTGTGTGTGTGTGTGTGTGTGTGTGTGTGTGTGTGATTGACACGCCCACTTCTCCAGTAAACTTCCTCCAAAAGAGACTTCAAATCCAAAACTAGGCTGTGAATTCAGACACAAACAGCCTGACTGAATAATAGAATGATGAAGGACAAATACTGACTCTTATTATTAAAGGATATAGTGCAGTATAATGTGTGTGTGACGTGTGTGCCGGACAGACGGATTCACACACTTCATGTACGGCATTAAAGGGTTAGTTCACCCAAAAATGAAAATTAGGCTGTGTTTTACTCACCCCAGAGCCATCCTAGGTGTATATGACTTTCTTCTTTCAGACGAATCCAGTCGGAGTTATATTAAAAATTGTCTTTGATCTTTCAAGCTGTTTAATGCCACTCAGCGGGTGTTGCATGCATCAGTCCAAAAGAACTTAAATAAAAAGCGCCCATCCATAAAAAAAAAAAAGTGTCCCACACGGCTCCGGGGGTGAACAAAGGCCTTCTGTAGCGAATCGATGCAGTCTCATGATAGAGCTTGGAAGAGCCAGGACAATTTTTAATCTAACTCCGACTGGATTCGTCTGAAAGAAGAAAGTCATATACACCTAGGATGGCTCTGGGGTGAGTAAAACACAGCCTAATTTTCATTTTTGGGTGAACTAACCCTTTAACAATCTCAGCAGATCCTGTGATGTCACAACAAGCAGCCAATCACAGCGCAGCACTGAGGGTTTGTTTATGGCACTTCAGACGATCTTCCTCAAATGTGGCCTGAGGCTTTAGGATCGCTGCCAAACAGCAGAGTCACGCAACACAGCGCTGAAACACTGCATTCATTAGCTGCTACACATATGTACACACACCTCGCTCTTCCTGCTGTCTTTCCACTGGTTTCACACACATTCCTTCAGAGAGAACTAAACTCTGGATTGAAAAATTCCTTTTTGTTTATTAGACTTTCTAAAAAAGAAAATCCTCCTGATCGTTAGCAGGTGATTTTATCCAGAGCAATGTTGAAATGAATGTGATGGTGTTCACTGTCAGACGATCATCACATCACAGATCTCCAAACTCACCACAGCTTTTCTAGAGTCGCTGCTGAAGCGCGTGATGCTTCTAATAATCTCCTCCGTGTCTGTCATCAACGCTTCATTAACTCATTAACACATCTCATTAACGCTCACAGGGAGCCAGTGACGTGTCTGTGATTGAGCTTGCAGGATGATTTTTTTTCAGAAAGATTAAATAATCAAAGCTGTAATTTCTGACAGTGAAGCTCAGACTCTGAACAAATAAATACAACCAGAAGTGACGATTACTGGCATATTAAAACAATAAAAGACGCACATGCTAATAACAAGATCAGTCCTGTAAATGACCAACTAACCAGTCAGCAGGTTTAGAGCAGGTTGATGTTGTTTGTGGTCAAATATCAGTAGATTCTGTGTGATTCAGATGATCTATATTTGATTTCTCTGCTTCAGTGCTTTGAACGGCTGACGACTATCTCATCTGACAGACTCTAGCCATGATGTTGTGCCAACAAAGACTTCCACTCCATTACCTTCATAAGCAAACACTCGCTTGAACTTTCCTGCAGCCGATCCGTCTGTATTATTCACCCTTGAGGATCACTTCATTGCTCTTGCACTGAGAACTATTAATATTCATACTGTACTATTCATAATTAAGTTCTGTAGTTGATGAGTCTGAATGATGATTTCACCCCCTTACAATTTAATACTGTAATAAAAACGTGTAATTTTGACATCTAATTCAATAATTAACTCAACATTAAATCATGGACTCAAAAAATCGTCAACATGTTAATAAATTAAAAAGCATACTATTATTCAATTTCTAGAATGACAATTATTTTTAACCTAAAAACTATTTAGCCTATCGCATACTTATATAAGTAACATTCAACACTTTCTTTCTCTTAGTTTAATAATAATAAATGCTGTATGCCATATTATGATTGTTGGTTATTTTGAGTTGCCATGGTAATTTGACGTGTTTTGTTTGTTGTGGAATCGCGTGGACACGGATGCGCCGCGGTTTCTCTCCACAGATTTGACACATCCTGAACACTCTTCTTGTTCTTCAAACACAGAGGCCTGTGCTGACGTGCGAGTGACGTCTCCGGTTCCTGTGGCTGATCTGATCTCCTTCCTTCTTCAAGCTCCTGGTTCATGCAGGATCAGCGTTTAGACGCGTCTTGCTCAAGCCGTTTCCTCTCAGGACTGCAGACAGAGTTCATCCTGAAAAACTCTCAATTCAGGCCAAAGAGCGTCCGCCATGAAACACAGGCGACTGACAAATGCAGTTAGAGTAAACGAAATATATGTGACCCTGGAGCACAAAACCAGTCATAAGGGTAAATTTTCTGAAATTGAGATGTATACATCATCTGAAAGCTGAATAAATAATCTTTCCATTGATGTATGGTTTGTTAGGATAGGACAATATTTGAAAATCTGGAATCTGAGGCAGGGGCGTGTCTAGAGCATGGGGCACTGGGTGTTTGCGGTACATCGTGTACACTCACTAAACAAAGAGTGACAGAGACAGAGACAGAGACAGTGAGCCAATTCATAAAAGAACAATATTTAAAAGCACACGTCCAGTTTTATGTGAGTGAAGGAAATCCGCTTGGGAGTGGAGAGATTCGTCATCGCGCACATGGATCGCGTGCCTACACATGCCAGGATCCGCCACTGCCAGATGCAGTTAGAAATGTACTAAAAACAAGCCTATCGCAAGACATCTGGTAGGTCGGTTAGGATTTTAAAACTCCTGTACTGTGAGCCCGGCTTAAAAGACGATGCTGTGCGACTATATTGGATCTGACTGTTTTCATTACGTGATCACTATTGCTTCGTCTCTTCTTACAGATTGTTTGATATGTATGGAGTTATTTATGCGCTTTTAACCTAAATCACAGCAGCGTCCATCTGTGAGGAATGTAGGCTGTCAATCACACACAACTGTTAGCCAATCACAGCAGTGGGCGTTTACTTCCGAGTCTACAATCAGCCACGCCTATTCAGACAGAGCGTTCTGATGAATGACAATAAACTCAACATTAAATCATGGATTAAAAATCAAACATTATTATTAAAAGTCTAGTATGACAATTATTTTTTAACCTAAAAACTACTTATCATATACTTCTATAAATAACATACAAATAACATTCATAACACTTTGGTTTTCTAAAAATAATAATAGGTATGCCATATAATGATATTGTTGGTTATTTTGAGTTGCCATGGTAATTTGACGTGTTTTGTTTGTTGTGGAATCGCGTGGACACGGATGCGCCGCGGTTTCTCTCCACAGATTTGACACATCCTGAACACTCTTCTTGTTCTTCAAACACAGAGGCCTGTGCTGACGTGCGAGTGACGTCTCCGGTTCCTGTGGCTGATCTGATCTCCTTCCTTCTTCAAGCTCCTGGTTCATGCAGGATCAGCGTTTAGACGCGTCTTGCTCAAGCCGTTTCCTCTCAGGACTGCAGACAGAGTTCATCCTGAAAAACTCTCAATTCAGGCCAAAGAGCGTCCGCCATGAAACACAGGCGACTGACAAATGCAGTTAGAGTAAACGAAATATATGTGACCCTGGAGCACAAAACCAGTCATAAGGGTAAATTTTCTGAAATTGAGAAAATTTCAGGGGGGGGCCAGTGCCACCCCTGGCCACCACGTAGACACGCCCCTGATCAGAGGTGCATCACGCCCCTGATCAGGGTGCAAAAAAATCAAAATATTGAGAAAATCATCTTTAAAGTTGTCCAAATGAAGTTCTTAGCAATGCATATTACTAATCAAAAATTAAGTTTTGATATATTTACGGTAGGAGATTTGCTAAATATCTTCATGGAACATGATCTTTACTTAATATCCTAATGATTTTTGGCATAAAAGAAAAATGTATAATTGTGACCCATACAATGTTTTGTTGGCTATTGCTACAAATATACCCCAGCGACTTAAGCCTGCTTTTGTGCTGCAGGCTCACATATGCTGCAGTAGGTCTGTGGGTGAGATGATGGACAGAGAGACACTGAGATCCGTCAAAGACTGGATAACGCTGTCTCAGGAAGACTAAGAGTGTCTGTGGTTTGAGTCACGCGAGAAGAACGACGAGAATGACTTGGGTTCATGCCAGTTTCAATTTCCACACATTAAAAGTGAATGCATTAAAGATTAGATAGAATAGAATTGGTGAAGCCTTAAACATGATATTAAATCTCTCTGAGTTTCCTGAGGCATTATAAGTTCAGTGAAAGTTAAAGTTAAATGTTTTCCAGAAGCATTGCTATCTAAGTGTTTGCAGTGACAGAACTCTGCCATGACTGAGTTATTCTGCAATTCTCTCACTGATCTGTATATACTGATCATTTTACTTTAAAAAAAAAAAATTAATTTGAAAAAATTAATCATTGAAGATACAAGATGTTTTTCAGCTGATATAAAGATTTTTGTGGCCCTGCAAGTGTTTTTACACTTCAGTCAATAAATTAATCAATCAATAAGTAAATAATAAACAAATAATTTTAATATATGCTTTTTGATAAAACTCATATCTTAAAACTGTCTATGTTTTCAGTAACTGTTAGCAGGCAGCTCAAACAGTAGATCATGGGTTCAGTTTCCAGCAAATAAATGAACTGTTAAAATGTGTTTCTGGTAAAAGCATCTGCTAAATGCATAAATGTAAAAGTTTTCCACAAATAACTCATTGAGCGTGCATTAAATGAGCTTCTAATGAAAGTCATAGGTTCACGGCACTCAGATCTCAAACCGATGATGAATCAGTGATGTCTGATGTGTTTTCTATGATCTCTCTGCAGCACAGCTCTAATAATCACTGCTTATAATAATGCATGCACATGTAATCACTTCCATTTCTTTCATTTCTATTTGAGCATCAATATTTCTGATTTAGGATTCAGGTTTTTCCAAAGCCGTCATTATTTCTTAAACAAATTCTACATCAGTTATTAATGTCACACAGCCACTTCAGAAGCATCTCCTGACAGAAGTTTCCCAGCATTCCCTGCGTGTCTCACCTCTCACACCCTCTAGTGGTGATGAGAAAAACACTTCAACATGAGATGTGTGCATATAATGAGCTTGCTGCAAAAAAAAATAAAGCTCCATTTTTTTTTAGTTAGGTAAGCTCTTTTTTTTAACTGATGTATTTAATGATTTCATGTGTAATTAAAGTAATTCTTTAATTGAAAAGAATGTCTATAAACATGTTTTGACAGCTATGTAAGTCACCGTACAAACTACAGCATCAGTCCTTGAGTTTCATTCACACTGAACAAACAGAAACAACCAGCTGCTGAACATCACAGACTCAAACCCACAAACCCAGACGGCAGCAGCACGCGCGCGCGTGTGTGTGTGTGTGTGTGTGTGTGTGTGGAACACGTTCATGTATGTATTAACCAGTGCACGGCATTTACAATCACACACTTCAGTCTAAAGCAGATCATACGGCTCTTATGATCCACATCAATCCATGCAGAGATGATTCCTGATCACCATCAAACACTTCAGTCATTTATACACTAAACAGGTCACTGCTAAAAAAACATTAAAGGTCTGAATGATTTCAGAATATAGAGCAATTACTCAATGGCATAGTCCAGTTTCAAAGCAAAGACTGTAAGACAGAATATCCCATAATGCTGTTCAGACATATAAAAAAACATGTTGATTTTGTCAAATGTGAGCCGAACACTCATCAAGACTTTTGCTGTGAGGTGTGATATAAAGTCTCCTTAAGATCAGTGCAAACACACACAAGGAGCATCTCAGGTGTCGGAGCGACACACTCACACACACACCCACACACACACACTCACACACACACACACACACACACACACTCACACACACACACACACA